AGGAGCAAACCAGTAAGCAGACCTTCTCTGGTCTCTCCTTCAGTTCCTGCCTTGAATTCATGCTCCAACTTCCCTCAGTGGTGGAGTGTGACCTGAGAATTGTAAGCTGAAAGAAGTCCTTTCTTCCCCAAGTCGCTTTTAGTCATGGCGTTTTATCACGGCAATAGAAACCCTGGCTAAGACTCCCTGTGTCCAAGCAGTGAGGGATCAGAGAGTATAGTGCAAAGTATTCTTTCTCCTCCAGCCAGGACACACCCCTTCACTCTGGAGACACATGACTTTCCTGCCGCCTGGGGAAGTGTCACACACATCTTAGCCTGACTCCTGGTTACAGCCCATGCCTTGAACTACCACTGCAACCACCTAGTGTGGCACGGAAGCTGATGCCTCCAACCTTTATTGGTTCCCGCCAACTAGTGTCCCTCCCCCACACATGTGAGCACAGCTGTGGGCCCAGGATCCAGAGGAAATCCTCAGCTTTGTACAAGCCCAGGGGACCCCTGAGCTTGCAGCCAGCAGCAACCCGGTTGGAGCATGCCTGTGGGGAAACAGTTCTTCCCTCCAGGGCAGGACTGAGCTGAGGCAGTTTCTGAGGTGGGGGAGAGAAGGAGGGACCTTTGCTAGGAATCCGGCCTGTCTTAGTTAATGGATCTGCCCTATACCACTGAGGAGGTATGAGTCCAGGTTTACTACCCCAGATAGTGGAGCTGCTGCCCTCTGCAGAGCAGGTGAGGGTCTGGGCTGTGCCTCTTGCCAGGACATACCATGAGGCTAGGACATTCCTTTCTACGTGGCTGTGAAGCTCTTTACTGCAGGTCCCAGCCTTCCTCTTGCTAGGAAACAGCTTGAGATAAACTCTGGGAAATCCCACAAGGCTTGGGCCCTGGAGCCCCTCTCAGTGAATTCAAAGCCCTAGTCAGGACTGACCAGAAGATCTGTGAACCCCAGGGTTAGTGACCATGGGCAGCCCAAGGCTGACAAGCATAGAGCCCTGCCCTGCAGGCTGGCAGGGTGAGGTTCTTCCAAAGCCTTGGCAGTCTCCAGTCTGTCTCCTGACACCTTCTGTAGGTCCCGTGGGCAAAGGATTGCTTGGGTGAGCTCACAATGGGACTGGGGAATCCTGCTGGGTTAGGGTGAGTGGGGATGCCCTCGAGTTCCACACACCCAGCTTCAGTTACTGAGGCCAGGTTTTCCAAGAGAAGGAAAGTGGTGACTAAGGAAAGAGGTTACTAAGCTGTCCCTGAGCACTTACTGCCCCACTCAGGGTCTACTTCAAATCCTGACATCTTCCAGGGCAAACAACAGAAACAGTAGCCTCCTTCAGTAAAGGCATGGGGCTATGGAATGAGGGAATGGTTTTAGGCTTGGCTGGATCCAGGCTCGGAGCTCTCCTCCTTCCCTCTAATCAGCTCAACTTCTCTGGGCCTATTCTCCCCAGAGTTCAGCATCCTAAATTCACTGACTAGTCCCCCTTTTGTCCAGGGCAGGATAGCTCTGGTTGACCTGTGGAATTATAACCACATCCTAGGGGGCTCTAGGGGTGAGGAGAGAGGGACACTGATAACATCTCCTCACACACGATAGAGCCCAGTTCTTTCCCTCCAGCAGCATGTTTGTCTTACGCACCCGAGAGTCAGATGCTAGGAGGCAGCACCTGGCTGTTGACTGCCTACCCAACAGGCTTGTGGCTTCTGTCCAGTGGGGTGACTGGGTTTTTGTTTGTTTGTTTTTGTTTTCATTTCTGACGTTTTGCCTGGGACCTTTATAGTCCCTGGCATGGAATGCCTGAACCCTATTGAGGACTGGAGACTTCCAGACCTCCTCATGGCCACATATGGACACTGCTAGCCCTCCTATGTCTGATGGCTTTCCCCTGAACAGTACCTTGCAGGACTCCCCACCAGGGTAAATCTCCAACATTGCTTGGGGTGGTTTCATTGTCTGCTACTTGTTTCCTGCCGTGACTGAGAAGGCAGAATTTTAGGTCAAGGTGAAGCTAGGGTGGGTAATCCAGCCCTCAGTTCCTGCCTTCTGGGACCCCTGGCAGTCAGCCCATAGTGCAGTCCTCTCATCCTCAGGCAGGCAGACCACCAGGAGACCAATAGAGTGCTAGGGAGAGGCAGGAACACTGTGGTCCAGGATGGGTGGGGCCAGCCTAGCTGGATCCATGCTGCCCATGCAGGGCAGCCGCCCCACACAACGGGGGCTCTGAGCTTGGGGTGGGCTGGGAGGGAGGCACTGCCTGCTGCCCGTTACTCACAAGGGCTTCATTGTGTGGCTGCGGCTGTGGGCAGCCCGGGGGCGCCCCGGCC